GGTGCGGGGGCTGGGGTGCGGGGTGACGAGGGCTGGTGCCTGCTGCAGCGGCGTGGTGGTGGTTGCAAGGCTGCCTGCTTGTCAAACAGCCGCTTCCAGCAGCATAGGACACAAGCAAACTGCCATCACTAGGCCCTGCAAACAATCTTCGGGGCTGTCCCCACCTCCTGGAACAGTCCGGGGTAGTGGCGGTCTATCCAGTCCAGCGTCGCGTCCTGTATGACGTGCTGCCGGCTGGTGACGACCACCAGGTCGCACCACTGAGTCAGCCGCTGCAGCGAAGTGTAGGCATCTGCAAGTGCATGCGCGCATGCGCAAGCATGTGATGTGAACGCGCGTGCCCAGGTGAGTGTCGAGCGTGTAGCTGCAAGCGATGCACACGCGCAATCACGTGTGCCTGTGACAACATGCTAATGGTCGGCGGTGCGTCAGCCTGTGTGCCCGAGACAAACACGCCCGGCTGCTGCCGCGCAATTGGAACTCCAGGCATCCCCTGACCTGGTATGATGGGGATGCCGTCCCTAAAGTGCGGGGACTTGAAGAACTCGTGCACTATATGGTGCGAGCGCTCCTGACTGCAGCCCCAGACCTGCGCTCGCCGCACAGAGGACCACCGTGCGGTGACGATCCCAGTGCTGCCCTTCGCCCCTGCAAGTCCACTTACCCCTGACCAACCGCCGGCCATTCCTCAAAGCCAAACGCGCACATGCTCGCAGATGAGGCTTGGCAGCCGCTTCAATGCAAGCCTCAAGCTGCGCCCGCTGTGCCTGCTGCGCCCTCAAGCTGCCCATCCCTCAGCCTGCCCCCCACCCACCTTGGCATACTCATACACCCAATAGTCTGCCACGTCATACGACATGCCATACTCAGCCTTGCAGAAGCCATTCAGTGCATGGACGAAGCGGCCAAGCACTGCGGGAAATGCACAGTGGGTGGCGATTGGTTCGATCCGCCTTGAAGAGCACCATCTGCCGTTGGGCAGTTCAGCAGCTTGGCATCTCACATGCACGCTGACTGTTGGATACTTTGGAGGGAAGGGCGAGGAGGATGTCCAGAAGCGAGGAATGCCTGGTGCACAGAAGCGAAAGCATCAGGGCAAGCAAGACAAAGGCCAGCGCAGCGCTGATCTCCTGATGCTCACCTTCGTCCACGTCAACAGCGACCCGGAGCTTCTGATGCGCCACACCGCGCTGTGCCACGCCCGCGGGCGTGAGCGTGTCTACAGCAGAGGTGCGGTTCGCATGCAGCGCCGCCGCCGTGACCCCACTGCCACTACACTGCTTCTGCGTTGCGTGGTAGACCGCCCGCTGATGCTGGCAACGCATCCGTCCCAACGATGGTGTTGTGTGCGAAGTGCAGCGCGGCCATGCCTGCCGCGGGCTGGACGCGGCCATTTCCGTGCACCTCCTCGAAGCCAAGGGTTCAAATGTTGTGTCGTTTTTGTTTTGTTACGTAGTTTTCTTCTACACTTGGATGCAGGAGGTAACGAGGGCTGGGCGAAGAGGTGGGCCCTCGGAGCTCAGCTGCGCGCTGGCTGCAGGGCAACGACCGCTGTCACGAAAGACTTCAGGTCAGGTCTGTTTTTTGAAGACTTTACTTGATGACTACAAGAAGGAGGACACGTGGCCCTCATTCAGGGCATCTGATGAACGTGCTGTTGGCCAGGCATGAGAACGGTCAGAGGTTCATCCCTCATCACAATGATGACCTCTACGAATCTTCTACTGCTTAAGACACCACTGCTCGCACAAAGATGGCTCACACCGCACGTCTGCTGCTCATTCACCCAGGTCTGACCTTGGTCAATGTTGCGAGAACCCACGTGCAACACCGTCCGGTGCGCCGCGCAAAGCGCTTGCCCGTGATCTCTTCGACCGCCAGGAGGTGGCCTCTGTGCAACGCAATCCATGCCTTGCGGCGCACGAATAGACTTGATTTGCTTCACAATTGTGCATGAACTCCCAGTTTGCGGGTGTACAATACCACGCATTGATCGTATCAACATCATCAGGATGTCTGTTGCCGTAAACAGTCGCATGCCACGCACACAGAGGTGACATTCTTAAAGGAAAAACACTTTTCAGACTGTATCTCCACCTGATCTCTTGCTCTCCCACTCGAAGTATTCATTTTGCCGCCGGCCGGCTTAAGGGCATGTGCAGCGCGCCCATCTACATCAAAATAGAGCACCACCTGCAGTTGTGCACTCATATATGTGTGTGTGCATGCAGAAAGAGCAATAGCGTTTCCTTATCAGGGCTGGCCCCCATTGCGCTTGTGCACCACACCCGCTTGCAAGCGTGTGGCCGGAGCTTGCTATGTAAATGCGGACCCACCTCAAAAAGGCTATCCCCACACGATAGGACCTCAAGAATTTTGAGAGCATGCACAGCATCACATTGCCATCAGTGGCTCAGTATGAACTTGCAGGGTCAACTTGGGAGTTGCAGAGACCCCCACCGTCATGCTTAGGAGCGCTGACAGGGCACACACCACCTAGCTCCGCTTCCTTTCTCGTTCTCCTGTGTGGAGCAGTAGCACATCACAACCATGCTGCCGAACGGATCTCACCTCGACCTGCCCAATGAACTCATTATAAAGAGCGATCCTGCTGGGTGTAACAGGCTGTTTTGTCTCAGTCCAAGTTGGCAGGTAGATGTTCCCTGTTGTTCTCCTGAGGTCCGACGGTTGTGTGTACCGTCATGTGTCGTTGTGGTGTTGCAGCGGCTAAGTTCAAAGGCAACAAATAGAAGGATGACTTTGGGCATGTTGTGCCGCTGGGACAAGGTCCTAGGCTGTGAGGTGCCTTGTTGTGCGCCCTTAAGATGTTCCCAGTGCACAGACAGTTCGGACCGCCTGCGCAACCTGACGGCGATGTTGGGCTCAGCTGAGATGAAAGTAAACATCAAATATCTTGGATTCGGAGCCGGCCGTGAGAGTACACGCCTGTGCTGTGAGGGGCGATGGGTCCTGTCAAGGTCTGAGATGGCTGGCGGTTGCATGGTGTCACCCGGGCAGGGGCAGCCACGGTGGCTGGGTGGGTGGTCGGCGGGTGACCTGGCCAATCGCGCCCCTCCGAGAGTCTTGACGGGTCGAACTGGCAGCTTGTATGTGTGGATTTGTATGCGCAACATAATCTCGAGGGATCCGTGGACTCGCCCTGATATCCAGGTGACCAAACGGAAATTGGGCACCCTGCACCAAAACAACATAGCTGTGCAGGGGTCAGGAGCCCTAGTTACCGCTTTCAAGAGGCATCGCGTGGTTTCGCGAGATTCTTCATTCATCAAGATGTTTGCGTTGAAGCAACTTCAACTGTAGCAAGCGCGCATTTGATACTGCGCCGGCGGTCACCGTCGTCTCGTTGGTAGCAACGAGACTCTGATGACTCGAAAGATTTAGTAGGTGGCTTTTCAGCGCGGTCCGCCTGAGTCCAGACCACGCGCGAGAGGCCGCGCGGGAGCTGTTGCCTCTAGCAGTCTCTTGTGGGTGAAAAGCATGTGGAAACGATCGGTGGCTTTCAGTGGTGGAGCGCAAGATAAGGTGCGTCCTGGCCTGATGCATGTAGCACCATCCGATCGCGCTGCGCGTAGCGCACGCCGCTGTTGCACCCGGGCGGCAAATGTGTCCGTATGCGGCGTATGCGAACTAGAGCTTCCTGATGCGGCGCCTGTGAGCATTATTCTGCTAACATTGTGTGCTGCCCGGAAGCGCTACTCTGAGGCTGTTAGCCCACCATTCTCTTGCCTGTTGTGCTCTCCCCTGGCAGCCTTCATCCACTGCCCCAGCTGCGACTGCGCCGCCAGCAGCGGCCGTCCTTGGCGGCACGGCCGCGCCAGACGCGGCGGCGCGCTACCAAATACTCCCCGACGTCCTCGGCCGCGGCGCGTTCGCCACGACGCGCGTGTGCGTCGACCGCGCCACCGGGCGGCGGTACGCTTGCAAGAGCATCAGCAAGATACGGCTGGAGGGGCTGAGTGATGAATGGATGAACGCGCGGCGGGAGGTGCAGGTGCGCCGGGCACGAGTGGTGGGGGTGCATGCTCAGCTTATGAACGACAGCAGCTGCATGCGCCAACATATGCTCACCTCCGCCAGCAACGCTGAGTGACCGTCGAGCTCATCCAGTTTGCAGCACGAAATTTCTGCCATAATACGTCCGTCCCTGCACTGGCTCTGCCGCATGTGTCTGCAGGTCATGCACCACCTAGCAGGTGAGGCCGCCCCTGACGCATGCGCATGCCCGCAGCATGCGCGCATGCTCATGCAGAGCATCCTTGCAGCACGAGTTCGAAAGAGCTGCATGCGTTGCATGCAGGCCTGCGATGCATGCATGCAATTGACGCAAGCGGACCCCTGCCGACAAGCTCGGTCAGGCGCTCACTGCGCACGCCCATGGGCCGCCTAGTCCTGACCTGCCCAGAATTCCGTCGTCCTCTGCAGGCCACCCAAACATGGCGCGGATAGTGGAGGCCTTTGAGGACGACGCGCACGTCCACGTTGTAATGGACCTCTGCAGCGGTGGCGGCCTGCTGCAGCGGGTCGTGGATCAGGTGCGGCGAGCTCTAGGGGCGCCGGACCTGGGTTGGAGCGCGCAAGGTTGCACCGCAGCGCGCCGTGGAGCGTCACCCGCGCTGCTGGCGGCGAGAGCCGCCACTCTGCGCGCGCTGTCGCACAGAGCCCCAACACGTTCCCGGCCGCACATGCACGCCCCGCGACATGCAGGGCCCGCTGTCGGAGCGCGAGGCGGCGGCTGTGATGCGGTCCTTGCTGGAGGCGGTGGCGTACGCACACGATATGGGCGTCATGCACAGGGACATCAAGGTGGGTGGGCGGGACCTTGCCCAGCCCTCCCCCTGCGCTGCTCAACTCTGCCTTGCTTGCCCCTGTTGCCTGCTGATCGGCCTGGATGTTGCGGGCAGTTGGGCAGGCAGCTGCGAGCGGCCTCGTGGCTGCTTGTCCTATGGGGTGTGCCACGGAAAGGCAGTCAAGGCACCGCGGCAAAACGCAAACGCGATGCCCTCTGCCCCTCCCTCGACGTGGGGCGCGTGCCGGCCGCAGCTGGACAACCTGATGTGGCGCGACGCCTCGCGCGACCCCGGCCACGTGACGCTGATTGACTGGGGGTTCAGCACCTGGGTGCCGGCGCCACGCGCGGCCAGACTCAAGGGGCTCTGCGGCACCAGTTTCTACGTGGCGCCGGTGAGGCGGCGGGTCCCACCAGCGGCGAGGGTCGCTTATGACGTGGGCGGTACCTCCGCCGTAAGGGGGTGCCCCTGGCCCTTGCCTTCAAAACGCACCGCCTGGCCGCGTGGCCCGCCACCATGTGGCCAACCGGTCTGCGGGTCGCTCTCTGCTGCCCCAGCACCATGAAAACAGTGACACAACATCAACACAAGCACGGTCCCCGTTGCCCGCGCGCCCGCGGCCCCCCAGGAGGTCCTGAGCGGCGCGTATGACGAGCGCGCCGACGTCTGGTCGTGCGGCGTGGTGCTGTACGTGCTGCTCTGCGGGCGGCCGCCCTTCGGCGGGGGCCGCACGGAGGCCGTTTTCAGGCAGATACGCGACGACGGCGTCCCCGCAATGTGAGCGGGCCACGCGGGTCTGCAATGATAGGATGGACTGTCTCGTGGCGTACGCTGACTCTGGGGTCTATGGTGCCTGGAGGATGGCCCAGGGGTCGGGGGCATCGGGGGGTTCCGTAGCCTGGGCCCTGGAGGAGGTCTGAGGCCGCCCTGGTGTTGTCACGCGGCCCGCCGCCGACGGTGTCCCTTTGCCCGCCTGCGTTTCCCCCATCCCCCACAGGTGCGGCGCGCCCTGGCCGGCCGTCAGCGAGGGCGCCAAGGACGCGGTGCGCCGCATGATGACGTACTTTGCGCAGCGCCGCCCGACCGCGCGCGAGATGCTGCAGCACGAGTGGATCCGCGGCGGCGGCGACGGCGGCGACGGCGGCACCAACCAGGGTGTCAACTCGGCGGATGGCGCGCCGCTGGCGGATGTCAAGCAGGAGCGGGAGCCGGAGGTGAGGGGCTGTGACGCGCCTAGCTGGTGCACCGTGCATGCCGTCGCGTTTCAGGGCCAAGGGTCGCACGCCACGAATCATCCCCATGCTGTCTCCCGACTAGAAAGTTGATCGTGATCCCCCGTCCCCCGCCCACGTCCCCTCGCAGCTGCTGCGCCGCCTGCGCGCCTTTGCCTCCCTGGAAGAGCCCGCAAGGCGCGCCGCTGCCGCCGCCGCGCGCGGCCGGTGCCCCGACCAGACGCGCGGGCTGCGGGAGCTCTTCGCAGCTATGGACCCAGGCGGTGCTGGCGCCGTCGGTGCGGGCGCGTTGGGAAAGGTGCGGGCGGTCTCGCGATTGCGCGGCCGGCTGCAGATTCTGGGCAGCCTCCTGGGGATTGGTCGGTCAGCAGGTCAGATCAAAGGTGCAGCCACGCAAGTTCGAGCGCCCCTCACCCTGGCGTCGCAGCGTCGCCAGCGTCGGGCGCTTTGCAGCCCAGCGGCCGCTCCCTTCCTTGTGCGGCGCGCGGCCACACCCCCGCCCGCACCCTGCCCCGCCTTGTCGCCGCGCCCCAGGCGCTGGAGCAGCGAGGCGGCCGGCCTGACCCCCAGGAGCTGCGGGCGCTCGTCGCGGCGGCGGTGAGCTCCCACGCCAGGGCCTGTGCCGGCGCCCGCGTGCCCCCGCCGCTGCCGGCGGGCACGCGGCTGGCTTCTGTGCGCACGGCTCCTCAGCCTGCGGCCCTGCGCAAGCCCATGTTGGGGACTCGGGGTTCATGTGTGGGGTCCCAACCTAAAACTCCGAGCCCTTGAGCCCAATCCTGCTGGGGGGCTTGGTTCTGATCTTTGTGGGTGTGCCCCTTCCCTCGCAGGACCTGGATGGGGATGGGATCCTCTCCCTGGACGAGTTCTTGGCGGCCGCCGCAGCGCCCTCCTGCCGCCGGCCCGAGCCCGCGGTCCACCCGGAGCCCGGGCCCGCCGCGCCCGCAGCCGGCAAGCGGGCCCCCGCTCGGCCGCCGCCGGCGGCGCCCGGCGCGGCGCCCGGCAAGGACAGCGGCGACGCGACGGGGGCAGCAGACCAAGGCGGCCTGGTGGGTGCTGGGCGGCGCTGGGCCGGAGTTTTGCCGCTGCAGCAGCAGGAGCACGATGCCCCAAGGCCGTGCGCACGCCTTGTGCTGCGCTCGTTGGTCGGGGACGGCTCCCACCCCCTCGGTGCACACACACTCTCTGATCTCGCGCCTAACCTGGCCCTCTTGTCCCGCCCGTGCGTGTGCTTCCCCGCCCCCTCCACCCCCAGTTTGACAGCCGCAGCTCGTCCCCAGCGCCCAGCACCACCTGCAGCCTCCCCTACGGCCCCGGCGAGGCCGGCCTCGCCGGCCGCTCCAGCGACGGCGGCTCCAGCGCCGGCGCTGCGCTCGCCGCCGACCTGGCGGGGGCGTGCTGCCAGCTGGACGGCGTCGGGACGCTCGCGGCCGCGCCGCGCGCGTGGGGCGCGGCCCCCTAGATCGGGGCGCGCGGCGCGGCGCGGCGAGGCTCGCCTCGGGGGCTGCAATTGCGCCGCCGCGGCCGCCCGCGTCAGGCGGCTAGGAACGCGATTCGCTTGCATTCGTTGGAGCTGAGACTGCTCCCAACTCTTTGGCGCCTTCAGATTAGGTTTCGGCCGCCGCCGCACTCACACACACCGCAAGCAGGGGCGGTTGCTTTTCCACTCAGCGACAGGCTTCAATTCAAGCATCCACCTCCCCCTCCAGCCACCAAACGTGCATCAACCGCCCGCCGCCAAGCAGCTTCCCACACGCCAACGCACAGGCAGCAAGCGCGCCTGGCGCCGGCTCGCGGCGCAGGCCCCCGCCCCGTTTGCTGGGTTTCGGCCGCCGCAGCAGCCGTTGTGAACGCCCGCCCTCCGAGCGGCCCCACGCGAGTCGGCAATCCCCCTTTCCCCTGTTGTGCACTTGTCGCCCGCTCCGCCGGCGCCGCCGCGCGGGCGGGCGCGCAAGCGGTCCCCAATGTTCGCGAGCGCAGTCTGAAGGGGCCCCGCAGGCGCCGCGGCGGCAGTCCCACCTGCCCCGTCTCCCGCCCCACAAATCAGCAGACACCGCCTTCCTACATCGCGCCTCGTCCACACCCAAAGCCCGACGCACCCATGATGCCTTGACACGCGCGGCGACACATTCCTGCCACGAGGCGTGCGCCATACTGACCCGACAGCCCTACGCGCGCCCGCGGACGCGGTCTGCAGCCCGCGCGGCGCCCTGGAACGCCCCGCCTCCCTTGAAACAGCACACTGTCGAGTCTTCCCGGCGCCGCCGCGAACGCGGCGGCAAGGGTGCAGCATACACACGCCCGCGCGCGCCGGCGCCGCACCGCACGCTGGCGGCGCAGCTGCCGCCCGCGCACGCGCAAGCAGGAATTTCACAGGGACACGCCCGCCCGCGACCAGCAAACGCACCCCCGCTTTGCAAGGCGCCCCCGGGATCGTTGTTGGGCGCTCATACCAAGCACTGCGCAAACGCACCAAGCCTCCCCCTGCGGCAGACGCTCACGCGCCTGGGTGCGCTCGCACTGACGTGCGGCCCCCCCGCCCGAATGCGGCGCAGCACAAGAGCAACGCTCTTTCCTCTCTTGCATCAGTTAGTATGGTCCCTGACTTTCGGGCACTTTGACTGCGGATCTCACACACAGCCGGCGCCACCACAAAGGAACTGCTGTGACTGAAGGTACTCACAGCTTTGGGTTTGTAACAAGAGGTGAAGATGCACAAGCTGCTACACGTCTGCTACTGTGCGGCGCCGCCATCAAGGCGACGCACGCAGCCCGCGCCCCCGATACAGACAGACGCAAGCCGCGGCCCCTGCGCGGCCGCGGCCGCGCAGCCGACCCGACCGGCCCTGGCTGGGGGCATCGGGCGGCCGCGGAAAGGGGGCCTGGGGGTAGTGGGCAAAGGAGCCGCATCCCGTCCTATCGGGCCGCACGCGCAGACGCAGCCTGTGCCCGCACTGGCGCAGGCGCAGGCGCAGGCGCAGGCGCAGGCGCAGGCGCAGGCGCAGGCGCAGGCGCAGGCGCAGGCGCAGGCGCAGGCGCAGGCGCAGGCGCGGCCGCGGCCACGGCCCCAGCGGCCGTCGGGACCCACCTGCCCACGAGCACTTCCTCGACCGCCGCGCCCTCCAGGCAGGCGGGCCCCCGCAGCTGCCCGGAAGCTGCCGCGGCGGGCAGCGCCACGTGCAGCAGCAGCAGCCGCTTGTGGAC